GGCGTAGCTGCGTAGCTTTATAGGCGGGCTCTGCTTTGGGGGCAGGTCCAGGTCTGAGGGGAGGGGCACTGCTCCCAATAACCCAGTGGGTTCGGGGGAGTGTGAATTCAAAGTGCTCAAGGACATCCACCCAGACATTCCTACCCTGTGTGTCAGGGTCCCATTCCTTTGCCACCAGGGCCCTGACTTTGAGGCAGGAGCCATGTCTAGGTTGAGATCCCACATTGCCTGGAGTCCTGCCATGTCCCACTAAGCCCAGTGCCTCATTTTCATTTCTACCTGCCCTCCGCCTGCTGGGTCTTGGTACATGTGCTAATGGGCTCCGACACTAACGCTTTGCTTTATGGTGTTCTTTTTCATTGATGTATCTGAACCTGTCATGTTCTCTCCTCGAGGAATCAGTCGTGCTCAGCAGCAGCCACTTGGTCCCACAGCACTCCGAGATCCTACGTCCTCCCTATGCCCCAAGAGCCTGAGGCATCGCACCAGCTACTGCTTCCATTTTCACCTGTCTCCCACCTGGTTCTCCAAGGTGATAGTCTTTACTGTCACACTGCTACCCAGGCCGAGGGCTAGCAATTCTCCACCTGCCACCCTGGCATCTACAGGCCAAGGAACACCTGGGATCAGCAGAAACCTCAGAAGAGTGATGGTTCCTCATTGCCACTGGCTGGCTGGTGACCCACCTTCAGAGGGCCATCTTTGGGATGGCTTCCTGGGACTGCCCACTCCTGGTGTTGACTGTTTAGGTTAAGTTCCCTAGAAGCAAAGACTGATATGGGGATTCTTGTTTAAATGACTTATTTTTGAGGGTGTGCTCTTACAAGAAGAGTGGAGAAATCTATATTAGTCTCTTAGGGCTGCTGTAACAAAGTACCACGAATTGGGTGGCCTAAAATAACAGAAATTTATTCTCTCACAGTTCTGGAAGCCAGAAGTCCAACATCAAGGTCAACAGTCTGTGCTCTCTGTGAAGGCTCTGTTCCCTGCCTTTCTCTCAGCTTCTGGTGTTTCTGGCAACTCTTGGTATTCCTTAGTTTGGAGGTGCTCACCCCAATCTCTACCTCTGTCATTTCATGGTGTTCCCCGTGTGTCTGTCTTCACATAGCATTCTCCTCTCTGTGTCTGTCTCTGCCTATTCTTATAAGGACATCAGTCATATTTGGATTAAGGACCCACTCTACTCCAGTATGACCTCATCTTAATTTACATCTGCAAAGACTCTATTTCCAAATAAGTTCACATTCACAGGCACCAGGGGTTAGGACTTCAACATTTCTCTTTAGAGACACAACACAACCATAGGGGGCACTAACCATCCTGGTTTGCCTGAGAATCTCCCGGTTTTTGCGCTGAAAGTCCTGCTTCCTAGGGAATTCTTTAGTTCTGGGAAAACTGAGATGGTTGGTCTGCCCGGAAGCAGGACAGGGCCGGGTGGTGGGTGGAGAATGCTAAGCAGAGGGCTGTCTCAGTCAGAGGCCGGTTTCTGTGTAATTCCACGTAGAAGCGCTGGGGCAGACACAGAGCATTTCATAGACTTTTACCACCTTGAGGCAAAACAGGGACAAGCATTTTGTGCCTCCAGCCAGTCAGTCTTTGTCAGAGTTCTGCCCTGGGCTTTGGAGGGCTGCTGTGTGTGTGGCTCCCACTACCCAGGGCAACTCTCCAAGATGGAGGCAGCTGTGAGCCATCAGGAGCCAACACTCAGTGGCTGGGGGACCAATGGGGATCTGGACAGAGCCACCTGTGCACAGCTATCCACCGACAGGATGGATAAGTGGCACACCTTCCTACCTACCCACCTGGGTAAATGCACACCAAGATTCCTGCTTATGTTGGTAAATATACACCTCTCTGCCCAGGTAAATGGGCCACTCATCCACCTCCAGAGCTGCCCCAGCCTCAAACTGGCAGGCAATGCCTGATGCTGTCCCCCTTCCCCCACCCAATCTTGTCGGTTCTACCTCCAACTCTGTCTGGCATTGCCAGGTCCATCTGTCCCTCTGCACTGCACCCATCTTAGAGTAAGTTGCAGATGTCCACCATCTGTGCCCCCACAATGGCTTTCTAACCCCCTTCCAGCATTTTTCTCTCCTGACCTTCACTCCCAAAGTGAACCTCCCCACAGAGGCCACAATGATCCCTACAAACACAAATCCAATCACGGTGCTCACTCAGCCAGTATTAACGGTCTCTGGGCCTGGAAGCCCTGGACTCTCTCCCCTTCCCTCTATCTGCTCCCTCCAGTCTCTCCCTTCTCCCTCTCAGCGCCCCCCCCCCAGCTCCTCTAATGCAGGGAACTAGCACCCAGCCCACCAGCAGCCCTATCCTGTGGTTCCAGGCGCCTCTGCCCAGGGGGCTTCCCTGCTCCCCTACCTGCTCTCCACCCCGATCCTCTGCCCACTCTCCCTGGCTGCCATCACTTCTTTTCGTGGATTGGAGAGGAGTCCCTGCTCTTTTCAGGACTGGTCAAAGCTGGTTGATCCAGAAAGAGAGAGGCAGATTTGGGGTCAGAGCCTCTGGTGGGCCAGGAGGGACTGGGGGAGGATCCTGGACCACCGAAGAATGGATCTTGGGTGGGCACTGACAGACCACTGGCTTTGGGCAGAGGCTGAGAGTGCAAGGCAGGCCGAGCCAGGCCTGGGCAGGCTTGCGAGTCAGGTCCCCCACTGCAGAGGTGAGTCTGGGGGTGGGGTTCCTGCTGCAGCTAAATGGCAGTCAAGGCGGAGGTGGACAGGGGGTGCCTGGCACCGCTCAGAGCTGGGGAAGGCCGATTCGGGATGGAGGTGGGGGTCAAGGCCGCCTCCCACCCTGCCTTCCCTCTTCTCCCCCTCCCCGCCCCCTTTCCCACCCCCGCTCCCGGCCGAGCGGGGGAGGCCATCAGGATTCCCCTCCCACCCTGCCTTCCCTCTTCTCCCCCTCCCCGCCCCCTTTCCCACCCCCGCTCCCGGCCGAGCGGGAGAGGCCATCAGGATTCCCCTGATTGCTTTCTTTCATCCCAGTGCCTTTCTCTGCAGCAAACGCCCGCTAATGCCTCTTTTATCAAGGAATTAGGGGATTTAGGGCCGATCGCACAAAGGGGCCCTCGATAGCAGCCGTAATCAAACGCCAATCGGCCCGATCTCGGCGGGCCGGGGAAGAAAGCGAGCGGCGGGGATTAGCGCGGGTTCCGCGGCCGGCCGGGCCGAGATAGTATCGGCGCGGCAGCGGGGCTGGAGCCGCCGGGAGGGCCCGGCCGCGGCCGCGGAGAAAGGCCGGCTTAGCGCCTCGCGCCGGGGATTCTGAAGCCATTAGGGGGGATTAACGCTCGGGTTAATCTGCTTTGGCCGCTCAATTGTCAGCAGCGAACGCGCCGGGCGAGGACGCCTGGGTCGGAAGGACCACGGTGCCTCGCAGGCCGGCAGTCCACAAGGCAGAGCTGGCCTCAGTTTCCCCAGCTGTCATCCGGCCAAGGCGAGTCCTGAGGCAGAGAAGAAGAAATGCGCACCTGGGTGGGTCGGGCCAACCAGCCTGATGTGTGGCCCTGCGGAGCCTGTGTGCATGGAGCCTGCCGTGTCACTCTGGCTTCCTGGGTCATCAGGGAACACAGCCCTTGCCCTTCTTGTTCCAGGCTGAAGGAAGGACACACCTGCCCCCTTACCAACCGACTTCACATCTGGGCCCTGATTGCCTGTGTGGCCGTGGGTGTCAGCATGCCCACTGAGCTGGGGCTCCTGAGCAAGGCACACTCCCCTCCCCACTGCATGGCCAGAAAGCATGCTGCAGACTGGGTAGTCTGAGAGGCCAGATAGAGCCACCACTTGCAGACTCTCCATCTGTGCCTTGGGATTCCTTTCCAGGGTATGGACCCCTGAGGAGCATTTGTTGGCTGACTCACTGACAGGGCTGTTGTGACACTGCCTGCTGCCTCTGTCACCCCTTTCTCACCCCTTGTCTTCAGTCCCCTCTCACTAGGGGGGGGCAGGTTGGGGCTGTGCAGGCTTGGGCCAGAGGTCCCAGATAGGTTCTTTGTCTCTGCCTGGGTTTTCCCATATGAGAAATGGGGCTGGCTGAGAGAAAGAAGGGCCCAGCCAGGATGATCCAGTGTCCAGTGGTGTGGCCTGAGCTCATTTCTGCTTTCTGTAGGGACACAACCCCAACTCCCACTCCTCCTCCCGCTTTGCTACAACAGGCCCCCAGAGTGGGAGACTCAGGGAGATGTGCATGCAGCTGGCCTCCTCCTCCACGTGAGTGTGGCAAGGCCACTGTGCCTTATATGAGGCCATGGGCAATAACAGGTGGCTGGACCAGAGCTGCCCAGGCAGGCGGGAGGCAGGATGGAGAGGACTGGAGAGGCTGGTGGAGCCCTCTCGGTCCCCATCCCCTTTCCCATGGTTGAGACCAGGGACATTGGAGCAAAAATATATAGGGAGAGGGCTGGCTAGAGCGCGGTGCTGATAACATCAAGATCAAGGTTTCGGATCCCCACACCAGCAAGCCACCAAAAAAAAAAAAAAAAAAAAAAGGGAGAGAGAGAGATACAGGGGGAAGAAAAAACAGTCAGAAGTCCTTCCTTCCTTCATTTAGAAGTGACCAGCGACTCTCCAGTCCAGGACCTGTGGAGGGGACACAGGATGAGCTACAGGCCCAGGTTCTGCCCTCTGGGGGCTTGGGTCTGAAGACGCAGTAAGACAAATAAGGGAGCCCTTAAGGAAAGACGAACAGGCTCCCTACTTGCACATGCGTCAGGGAGGGCCTGAAGAGCACCGAGTTTCAGGGTAAAGGTGGAGGGTGAGGAAGAAGTATTCCAGGGAGAGGGAACCGCGCGGGCACAGGCAAGAGCAGGCTGCCGCGGGAGATGTCCAGCTCTGGGACACGGAGGCATCTCCTGGCAGGGAAGGGTGGGGCGGGAGGCCGGGAAACGTCCCCTCAGGCTGGCGCGTCAGGAGGACCCTGGGCAGCCAGCCTCCAGCGTGAGCAGCCGGTCGTGCGGGGAGGAGCCGACTTGGGGAGGGTGGACAATGACGGCTGAGCCGGTCGAGCGTCGCGTGGCTGCAGGCGAAGGCGGGGCAACTCGCGGTAAAATCCGAGGACCAGGGGCTAGCGGCAGTGACCGCGAGGGACCTCCAGGCAGCCGAGCCGTGACCAGAGGGAAGAGCCCGCAGCAGCGTGAGCGTCTCGGCTCGTGCTCTCGCAGTCGGGGCAGAGCGCGTGCGCTGCCCCCAGCGGCCGGGCGCATCCTCATGACGCCATCAGCGCACGCCGCTTTGACTTCCGGGCGCGAGCTTCGCCAGCGCGGATGGCCTCGGCCCTCCGGGAACGCGACCCGGCTCCGCGGCTGTCTGCTGCCTGGATCTCCTGTCCCCGAGGCCGTTGAAATCCGACTTCTCTTTCAGAAATAGGCCCCGGGAAGCTTCCGTCTCCGGACCTCCGTGGCCGGGAGCTGAGGGAGGCCCTTGTGGTCTGCGGCCATGGCCCTCGCCGCTCACCAGAAGCGACCCTTCTCCTGGCCCTGGCGTGACCTGGTCCGACCCGCAGGATAAGCCCTCGTATCACGATCGCGAGCATTTCCCCCCATTACAACCCCGGGGGAGTCTGCGGGCACCGAGAGGAGGGGCTGACTCGCCAGGGTCATCGGCAGCGGCGGTGGGGGGAGGGGACTCCGATGTGCGGTCAAGTGTGTAGGGTCGCCTCGGGCAGACGAGCAGGCCGCCCTGAGAGCCTCGGGGGCCTCAGCCCGGTCAGCGCGTAAAAACTGCTCAGGGCCCCAGGGGCTTCCGGAGGCAGCGCTTTTCAGCCAGGGCTTGGGCTGCTCTGGGAGCTAGCTGAGCCTCCACCACGGTAGGCATTTGAGCAGAGCTTGGGAGTAGAGGGGCCAGATGGTGTGTCCTTTGAGGTCACTTCAGGATATGACACCCCAGGTCACAGTTCCCAGGTCAGGCCCAGCCAATGGAGGATTAAGTGGGTGGTAGGTGGGGGTGGCTGGCCAGGCAGAGGAGACAAATGTGGCCAGAGTGTGATAAGGGCCTCGTTGGCGAGGGTCCGGGGTCAGGGCGTAGCCCAACCTGAGCAGAGGGGAGGCTGCTCTCAGGGATATTTGCCAGGTGGGTGGAGGAGGAGGGGAGCTACAGGGCCACACCAGGGGCCACCATGTTTTCCACGGGTCACCCTTGCTGGCCTAGGCCATATTTATTTACTATCCTGAGTGTTCTCTATGGTGCTCCCAGTCATTTCAAGCCAGTTCTTCACTGCCTGTGTCTCCGTCCCTGTTCCCAGGTCTTGAGGCCAGGAGTTCCTCAGATCCCCTCATTCTGTGCCCCTTATCTAAGACCCCTGTCTGGGGAATCTGTGAAAACACGTAGAAAATAAAAAGTGAGCTAGAAAAATACTACCCTCATTCACCCTCAACCAAGGCTGTATTTGCTGAGTGCTGAGGGACACGATCCGAAAACCAGAATTCTCTTTGTTGGCTGAAAGCAGACAGACCCATTTGTCAGTATTAACTGGCTTTTTTGGGTACTGAACTGACTGCCATCAATCACCTACACAAGGTCATGGAAAACCCTGGGGGTGTCCATGCAGCAGTGTGTAAGGGGAGCTTCAAGGAATCTGGGGCAGGGGTGGATAGAGGGCAGCTGCCTGGGGCCTTGGCTTAGAGGAGACAGGACACTCATCCTCAGCCCCACAGTGGTGAAAACAGGGCTGGAGGTTGGCCAATCCCTACCCCAGGTTTGGTCACCACCTTGCCTCTGCTTCCGTGCCTGTCTGAGGCCATTTGTCTCCTGGGCACAGTCTGTGAGGATCACAGGCTTGAAGCTGTGCCAGATGGTGGAGGCTGTCTGAGGCTGAGTGGAGGCTAGCTGTGACTTCCGACTAGTCACCAGGCTCTGGCTGTGGGCAGGACATAGTGACACTACTGTACAATGATGTGTACACCCACCCACCTCCTGGGGTTCTCCCCAACACTGCTCATGCTTCCTGGTTGGTGGGGGCTAGAAATTCTGCCTCTGGATTAGCTCAAAGACCCACCTCCGCCACGTCTCTCTGCCCCTTTGCTGCCATTACAAGGGCAGGAAAAGTTCCAGCCCCAGTGCCCCCCAGGGTCTGTGCTGGTCCCCTGCCATTGGCCACTTCTTTGTCCTCTCACCCTACTCGTCCCCCCCTCCCGCCTACTCGTCCCCCCTTCCCGCCTCTCCAACCACCTCCAGCCCAGAGGCACTGCCATTTCTTTCATGGAGATATACTTTCCCTCAGGTCTCAGCTATAAGAATTGAGGCAGCAACTTCCTCAGATGACGTGTGAGTTTTACCAGGGCAGGTGGCTCCTCTGTGCTCACAGTCACAAAGGACTCAGACCCCCCCCCCTTCCCGCCTCTCCAACCACCTCCAGCCCAGAGGCACTGCCATTTCTTTCATGGAGATATACTTTCCCTCAGGTCTCAGCTTCAAGAATTGAGGCAGCAACTTCCTCAGATGGCGTGTGAGTTTTACCAGGGCAGGTGGCTCCTCTGTGCTCACAGTCACAAAGGACTCAGACCCAGCTAAGTCAACATTTCTGGCTGGGCTACCTTATGTCCACCCTGTGCTTTGAGGCACAGGCAAGGGGACCTTGGGGATGGCAGGGTCCTTGTCCTCCCTGAGGAGAGGATGGGAGCTAGATTGTTCCTGGGGAATGGGTCCCAGGGTAGATGTAGACCATGCGGTCCTACCCCTACTCTCAGCCCAGTTCAGCCTTGGCCCCTTCCTCTCTGTGAAGGGGCACAGGGACAGGATTCAGGTGCAGGTGTGTAGTCAGTGTGGCTGGCATCTCTGGAGGTCAGTATGTGGGCGCATGCTGTTGGGCTGTCTGCTCCAAGAACTACCTGGAAACTGGGGAGTCTGCAAACAACCTCCTGCAACCTCAAAAGCTACCATGTGTGAGGATGTACTCTGTGCTAAGCATTGTCCTAAGCACCCTAACAGGGATTATCTTGTAACCCACTGAGGTGGGTTCTTATTACCCCACTTCTCAGATTAGGAAATTGAGGTTGGGCGACTTGCCCAGGCCACACAGCAAATTGGGGAGCAGGGCCTCTGAGCCTCACATTCTGCCCCACCCATCACCCCTACTGCCCAGCCTAGAGGGCAGTTCCCAGGGTGCTGAGTGCCCCTCCAGCCTCTGTGGCCTGCACTGTGAACCAGTGCTGTCCATCCCTGCTCTTCATCCCCACAGAAAAGCTTCTGAGGTCCAGAGCTGGTGACCTGGGCTTGGGGGACAGGGAACCTCCTTGCATGGGACTCCAGCCTTGGTGCCTGCATGCCCTGATGTGTATGGGAGAGGGGGGACAGCCCCAGGGCCTCTTTGGGTGGGCAGGCTTTGTAGCCTGGTCCCCAGGGCTACCTTTGGGTGTGGCCAGCCCAAGACAGTGCAGGCTCTGGGTGGTGACCAACCTCCAGGCCTTCCCTAGTTCAGAGGCTGTCCCCAAGGAGACTTGAAGACACCGTGCTCCCTTTGTCCTCCAAGCCCACGCTTGGCCCTTAGATCTGCCTTACTCCCCAGTTGCACACTTGGCCTGGGCTCTACGGATCTGGCACTGCGTGAAGAGGCTGGCACAGGGCACTGACCCCCCAAGGAGCAACTCCAGGGAGGGGACCTGCCTACAGAAGTTTCCTGCTGGCAAGAGGCTATTTCTGTCTGAGTCAAACACTTGCGCGACTTCCTTCGTGGACAGAGACACTTGGACAGAAGGTGATTTCTGCTCCTACACAGCTGGGAGCACTGGTTGATCCCTCCTGCCTATGGGTGTCCTTCACTTGGTTCATAGACTGTGGAAGTAGGGTCCCAGGCCAGGGGACACACCAGCTCAGGGCTCTGCGGCCTCCAGCCCTGGCTTGGCTTCTGCCTGTGCCTGGATCCTCAGGCAGGGAGATTCCAGCCAGACCACCTTCCCCTGAGGTCCAGAGCTGTGGGGTGAGGTGTCTGGGGATCCCTAGGGCCCTGGCCAACCAGCCCCACCCCCCTCCTGCCTCAGGATACCTGTGTCCCAGCCTGGGTGAAGGAATGAGGGTCTGCTCAGAGACTCAGGAGAGCAGAAGCAGGGAACCCCCACCAAGGTGCCCTCCTCCCTGCAAGCATCCTATTTCACAAAGAAACCCCCTGAGAGAGGGAGGTGAGGAGGCAGGCCCTGCCACAGACTGAGGGACCCTGCACCGACCTTTCCCCTGTTGAGAGGCAGGCGGCGTCCTGGTAGCACTGTCTCCTGGGCCCTGCAGTCCACTCTGCCCACTTGGTGCTGTCTGCCAGGCCACTTTGAGGGCTCATGGATATACCCTCCAGCCCACAACGCTACAAGACCTTACCACAGGGAAGGCCTGGACATGGCCCAGTTCCTTCTTAGCCTGGTGCTGGGTCTCTCGGGGAACCAACACTGTGGCCCCAGGGTGGACACAAGGCTTGCCCACCACCCTGCTGGCTGGTTGGCCTCCCATCCCCCTGCAGCACTGTCCTCAGGTGGGTGGGAGCTGCCCCTCTGCAGAGGCAAGGCCGTCACTACCCACCTATAGATGGGCCCATACAGGGATGGAAGCAGGGGCAGGAAGATAAACAGGATCCGGTTTATTCTGTCTTGCCAGGGTGGTCCTGAGAGTGGCAGGTGCCACCCTGTCCCGGGCGGAGAGAGGGCCCGAGGGCCAGTTAAGGCCAATGGCGGGAGAAGCGGGGGGCATGCAGCCCCTGGAATGCAGTGAGGCCAGGCTGAGGCCCGGAGGCAGCTGTGGTAGGCTGGGGCAGGGTGCCCCTGCTGCCCAGGGTGGAAGGCACCAGACTGGGACCGGGACATGGCTACAGGGCTGTGGACCCAGGCCACACAGGCACCCTGGGAGTTGGGGCACAGGGTCACATGACACAAAACATGAAACAGGCACAGGACTCACGAGTAAGCACAGGGACAAGTGGGCACAGATTCACAGACCAGAGGGACACCCAGCCGTGGCAGGGCCAGACACGAGGACACCATGGTGGTGTCACATCGAGACCACAGGGGAGACATGGCACTATGAAACACATGGACTTGATGGCCATAATGGACAGACCAGACCATGGAGCTGTGGGACATGGGAAGGGAGCCTTTTGGCACGACTGCACTCGAGTCACGTGAGGGGAGAGGGGTAGGGCTGGTCTGGAGGCACCTGGGGCAGTACCACACAGACTCTCTGGGCTTAGTCCGTCTTCCACACTTTGTTGAGCAGCTTTACCACCTCGTCATAGATGATAAACACGATGGCCACATCCAGGCAGACCCGGCCCAGGCGGGGGACAGTGCCCTTGTAGAATCTGGGTTGGGGGAGGGGTGGAAAAGGGAGGGAAGAGTAAAGAGGAAGTGAAGGAGGCAGATGAAGAACAGTGTCCCTAGAAAGGGCACCCACCGGATGCTGCAGGTCCAAGGGGGAAAGCCTGTGGCAGACAGGGAGAAGGCCAGGAAGGGTCTGGGGTGGGGACAACAGCCCTGCCCATCTCCCACTCACGCCTTGAGCCCCTCCTTCCTCAGGATCTGTAGGCCGCAGTCCCATGTGTTCCGGTATTTGTGCGCCTCCAGGCCCTGCAGGATACCCGCAGGCCAGAGCCTCAGCAGCCAGCCCATCCCCAGTTCCCCTCCTCCCTTCTTGGCCCCATGCCCACCTGCATCCGGGTCTTGATCACGTCCAGAGGTGTGTTCCCAAAGACACTGGCTGCACCCGCAATAGCTCCGAAGACCCCAGTGATCAGTGGGTTCATGGGTTTGTTAGGGTTGTCCCCTGGATGGGGGGGGTACAGTCAGGGGATGCTAAGAAGAGGCTTTGAAGGCTGGGGAGGAGCCTGGATCAGGGCCAATGAAGGTGGGCCACCACATCCCCAGAAATGGCCCAAGGGGAGGAGCCTAGCTCAGTGTTTGGAAGTGGGGTCCGGGGGTTCACGCACCTCGATACCAGTTGCGCAGGGAGGTCATGACAAAGAAGCGGATGGCCTGGTTTGAGCCTTGCTTCAGCACAGTGGCTGTGAGGCCCTGGTACGTCCCCTTCAGCCCTGGGGGCAAGCAGTGTGGGGTCACACTGGTGTTGCCCAGGCCCCAGCTGGGGATTGGGGGCACTGCATGCAGTGCCAAGGCAGGAAGGGGAATTGCAGGCCCTTTCCAGCCTGGCCAAGGTCCCTGACCCTAAGGAAGACAGTCAGCGGCTCACCTTGTTCCCGCACAATCTCCCTGACCCCATGGAAGAACCCTCTGTACTTAGGGTTGGGGGAGGTCTGGTCATGAATGAACTTCACCTGAGAAAAAGGGAAGCAAAGAAATTGGTTCATGGGCCACCACCTGAAGGGCACACTTGGCCCCTTGGTTGTCTGGCTTAGAGCCCACCAAAGTCAGGCCAGAGCTGGGGGTGCAGCTCTTTACCTGGAAGCAGTGCAGCACAGGGACACCAACACAGAAGAGGCCCCAGGACAGAAGAGGGCCCACCTGGTGAAGTTATCTCTGCAGTTATATTTGCTGCAATTTCCCACAGTTTTGGCAGCAAATGTATTATCTCGTGTTTTCTGTTTTTGAAAGTATTTTTTAAAGACCTTAATAACGACTTCCCACTGCCTTCAGGACAGAGCCCAGTTTCCACCTGCAGCCTCCACTGGTGGCCCTTCCTGCCAGACCTCCTGCACCTAGCTCCCGGGTAGTCCTCCCTGCATGCCTTGCCCCGCTCCCTCAATACCCTCCGATCTCCGATCTCCTGTGGGGAGCACAGGACCACCCCTGGCCGGCCAACCAGCAACCCCTACATTCCCTGCCCCCCCTGCCAAGACCTTCCCTACCTTGATGGTCTCCATGGGACACACGACCACCACGGCCTCAGCCACACCGGCGCCCAGGCCGCACAGAAGCCCGCGCGTGCTGTCCAGCCGCCCCTGGGCGTCCCGCATGTGGTTGCTGAGGAACTCGAACATTCCGAACCTGGGGGCGGGAAGCCGATAAGAGGCGTTGCCTTCACCGGGATCTACTCCCGTGGCCGCCCTGAGCGAGGTCTTACCTGACGGCCGCCTTGGGGATGGAGCCGTAGAGCAGGGAGCTGAGGCCGCGGTACAGGCCCAGGACGCCATGGTTGCGGACCGTCTGCCTCACGCAGTCCCCTGGGGGAGGGGCTGGTCAGGACCCCACCGCCCCGGGCGCCCGCCCTCCGCAGCTCTCCGCCCCTCGCGGCTCCGGGCCGCCCCTCCTCACCGATGCCCCGGTACCGAGGCGGGTGCGAGCGCTCGTCCAGTTGCAGCTGCGTCTTCACGTACTCGGTGGGGAACGTGATGCAGATTTCGATGCCGCCCGCCAGGCCGCCTGCGGGAACCCGGTGCCCACCTCCTGAGACCCGGCCCGTCTGCCTTGGCCAGCTGCAGCCGCCGGCCCTCGAGCCCCTCCCCCGCCTCGGACTTTACCCGGCGCTGCCGCCACCGTGGGGAGGCCGGGTCGGGGCCCCAC